TGAAAAAATGGTAAATCTGAAAAAGATACCTATATCCTAACAAAAGCTTTCTCTTCAGTGCTAACCTTTTGAATTATCAAATACTTTAGCAGCCCTAACAGTCAGCATGGTTTTTGTCAGCTTCCTAGCACCAGCATAAAAATACGCAAAAGCTATATATTTTCAGACACACGTGCACACCCTCTTCAAAAGAACTGTATCAAAATATTAATGGGATATTTTTGTCCTGGATAAAACTATAGTGATTGTTTATTCTTTCTATTCTTCCACATATATATTCTTCAATTCAAACAAAGGAAAAACTTTTTCTAAGAGAATTAAAAATCTATTTTTAAAAAATCTCTGAAACTCTAAAAAATACAAAAGAAATGTTTTCTACTAAGGACATTGATACAGAAGAAAAAACTGTATGGTAGTATATAATTATACACCTATTTAATGGGTAAAAAATTATTGCCAAAAGCAAACTAGATATCCTCTGAAGTAAATAAACATTTTTAAATACCAGGGCGTCATTTAGTAAATCAACAAGGGTTCTAAGTACTCAGAACGAAGAGCTCAGTCCCACAATGTAATTATCAGCTAGTCTGAATTACTACTATTGGTCAAGTAAAAAGAACACTATCTTAAAAGGAATGCTACTATATTATCCTTTAATAATGAATTTGATCAATATAGGTAGCCAATCCAGATCCAACATCTTTCCATGCATTTTTTTGTTTTGTATTTAAACTTGAAAAGTCTCCTCCTCAGTAACCCCTTGTAAGACCTAATTCAAGTTAATGTCTTGTCTAAAGTGGTATATTGATAAACCATTAGCCCTGAGACACCTAAGATTACTCAGCAAGATAGATTCCTCCATGGTTCTTTTGTTATTCACAATTCTCCCTGGCATTAATTTAAAAAAAACAATGTAGAGGTGGTATCTCACTGCTAAAATAATTTCTACTTAAAGATAACTTGAATTATAGAGTAAAATTTGTCAATAATATGGGTTACTTACAGAAACATATCAATCAGCTTAAAGTCTTGGTTCATGTAGAGAGTTCTGTATAAATTATGTGCACACTATAGGGGCAGTTCAAAAGAAACTAAAGAAATATCTCTTAGAAAAGGAGTTCTCAAACTATCTGAGGCAAAGGTTCAACTTTTTTCTTCTCAAACAGCCAAAAAACAATACTTTTGTAAAGTAAGTCACTGGAAAGAAAAAAAGATACGCAAAACATAAGCCCTCATGTGTTCTGCAGTATCACATTACTAGAGGAACTTTTAAACATTTACTCTCAATTCCTATACTTACCTTATCTCAGACTGGTAACTATTTATAGACCAGCACTGGTCCATGGACCACACTTTTTAAAGCAGTACCTTGGGTCATCCTTACTACATGTTTATACATACAGCAATAAACACATTAAGAATTAACACTAAGATTTTTTTAAATTACCTTTTCCTATAAGGACTCCAATTTTTGAGTCTAATTTTTCCCCTGGGTCACAACTTCTTGTCACTAATTTGAGAACTGGAAGAAAAGGTCTGATATCACAGAGCCTCCTTGTTTCATCTTCGAGCTCCTCATATACAGCAGTTTGATTCACACATGCAAACATATAGAAGTCAATTTCCATAAGGAGGTTAAACATTGGATAATTGTGAACTTCCTTCCATAACATCTGCAGGGAAAAATACAAGACATTTTCTGGAATGGAAACACCTAATCAAGGGTACAAAGATATATCTACAAGGATGCTTACTACAGCAGTGTTTGTAAAGCTCTAAAACTGAGGACAAGCCAATGTTTTAGCAGTAAGGGATCAGTTAAATCAAGTATAGACTATTACAGGACTGTGAAAATAAAATACAAACACATGGTCACAACAAGGAAAGCTATCCAAGATCTATTAAAGTTTTTTCTTTTTAAATAGCAATTGCAAAAGAATATGTATGGTATTAACCCTTTTGTAAGTAATGTAACAGCAACAAAAATGCATCCATATAAACAAAATTAGTTAAAGTGAACATCTATGAAGAGTGAGACTCAATAAAAACTTCCCTATTTAACCTTCTTGAGAAATGAATAACTTCTAATCAGAAAAAAATAGAAAATTAAAGTATGTATCAACACCCCTTAGTTTTGTTCTGCATTCTTTTCTATTTGCCAGAAGTATTTCATTAACTAACATTGCCCCGTCAAGATAATGAGAGTCAATCTCTCATTATCATTATCATCATCACCCCCCTCCAGCTTCTTCTGGATGAGAACAAAGAAAAGAAGGTCACCATACAAATGCAAAGTGGGATTACAAATTCTAACTGCAGCCAGTACAAAAGCCAGGAGGTAAGGATAACAGACCAGAGGTAAAAAGCATGACTAACCCTTATATTAAGTTATATACAGGAAAATGCAGTGCCATACAACAGAAGAAAAACGGGCAAAATTGGATTTCTTCAAATTAAAAGTTTTGTATATCAAAGGACACTATCATAAGAGTGAAAAGGCAACCCACATGAGAGAAAATATTCGTAAATTATGTATTTGATAAGAGATAAACATCCAAAATATAAAAAGAACTTCTATAACTCAACAATAACAACAAAAAAATTCAAAAATGGGAAATGGTCAATAAAGAATTCTACAAATGGCCAATAAAAACATGAAAAGATGCTTGACATCATTAGTCATTAGGGAAATACAAATAAAAACAATGAGATACTGCTTCACAGCCATAAGATTGGTCATTTTCCAAAAAAACAGGAAAATAACAAGTGTTGGCCATGATGGGAAGAAACTAGAACCTTTGTGCATTGCTGGTATATATATAAAATGGTGCAGCCATTGCAGAAAATGGTTTGGCAGCTCCTTAAAGTTAGAATAGAGTTATCACCTGATCCAACAATCCCACTTCTAGGTATATATCCCAAAAATGGAATGTAGCAATTCAACCAGGTATTAGTACACCCATGTTCATAGCAGCATTATTCACAACAGCCAAAAGACAGATACAACCAAAGTGTTGATCAAAAGATGAGCAAATAAAACAAAATGTGGTATGTCCAAGTATTATTCAATCTCAAAAAGTAAATAATGAAATTTGGATACATGTTACAACATGATGAACTTTGAAAATATTGTGCTAAGTGAAATAAGCCAGACAGAAAATGAAAACTACTATATGATTCCACTTACATGAGGTAGCTAGAATAGACATTTATAGAGACAGAACCTAGAAGAGAGATTACCAGGGACTGGGAGAAGAAGTTTATTATTTAATGAGTACAGAGTATGTATTGGGGATAATGAAAAGTAATGGAAATGATAGTCTGCTGTCCTGACAACACTGTGAATGTATTTAATACCTGGAATTGTGCACCTAAAAATGACTCTAACAGTGTATTTTATATTTTGCGTATTTAACAACAACTTTTTTTTAAGAGGAGGAGGAGGATATGAATGGTTAATCAAGCTTCAGGTACAGCCACAGTGGCCCATACCAGTTACTGGTGACTATAAAAACATGTATTCTCTGCACCTGTGGAATACCTAGACAATTCTCTTTTTTTACTTCAGAGATCATGCAGTTATCAAATTCTCCTATCTCCCTGATCAAAGAAGGTTGGAAAAGAGTTATGAAGGTATCCAAAGTAAAGAACTTTAAAAAGGTTTGTCATAAATACTTCCTAAAAACATTGTAACCACTGATGTCTTTACTGGGTTCAGCTATAAGAAAAACATTAAAGACAAAGTTTAGAAAAATAACTTCATTTTAAATGTTGCATTCTTCACAAATCAATGGCAATCACCAACTGACTTCAAAAAAGAATCCCACAAAACAAACAGCCTTAACATGCAAAAGAATTTACTTCCAAATAAGTACATACCATTCACTACTATGAGGGAAAAAAATCTAGTGAACAATAGAAAACTTTTATCTTTCCCCAGAGACACCATTAAAAGTAGTAGAGATGGGGAGTGGGGAAGGGGGAGAGAGGAAGGAAAAGGGAGAGCAACAAACCAAAATCACATGGAAAAAAAAAGTGTGACAGGCTCAAAGATAGTAATTACAAAGATTTTTTACTCAAATAAAACTTAGACAATGTCAAATGCCTTTTAATAACCTGAGCAAAACATTTCAAAGCAGCCAACATGAGCCAATTTTTCTTAATTCAGGTATCACATACGGATTAAAAAATTTAAGTGGAAATGAGTATGCTTGATATGTCCACAAGACAAAACATTAAAATATTTAAAATATAAACATTAATTACTATCCAAAATATTTAATCTAAAGGTTAAACTTCTCTCCAATTTACTATATGATTTACATTAATAACATTTTCTACAATAGAACATTTTCCCTAAGTGAGGTAGTAAGTAACCTTAGTTGAATTCTACCTATTAACCTACCTGTTTAATATAAGAAATGGTAGCTTCCCGAGGTACCTCCAGCTGGATATAAATCCCAGTGGGCAAAAGGAAATCCACAGGTATGGAGCCATCAGATGCTATCTGTGAATCCACTGCCCAGATGTCAAGGATGTCTGCCATAGCAGGAGGCATTATGAAACTGAAGCACATTTATAACCATGGGGCCCTAGAAATCAGTAAGTAAAACTTAGTGAGATAAGTAATTAATTACTCAAATTTTATACTAAAATATGATAAAGCCTACCAATTCTTAATTAGTCCTTGGATTTCACTATACCCAATCTTGTAACAGAGCGCCAATTGAATTAAGCAAGAGTAAGCCACCAGAAGTAAATTATTTTAAAAATACTTTGGTTATCATTGGATAAATTGTGTATGTGTATGTGTGTAGTGCTGAAATAACTGGACAACTATCTACTAAAAAAAATCAAACTCAATCAGTATCTCACACCAAAAATAAAAATTCAAAATGAGTGACAGACTTACATGTAAACCCCCAAAGTATAAAACTCTAGAAGAAAATACAGTAGAAAATCTTGCAATCTTGGATTAGGCAAAGACTTCTCAGATGTAATGCAATAAACACAATTAATAAAATAAAAATTGATAAACGGAACATCATTAAAACTGAAAACTGCTCTTAGGAAGACACTGACAGACAACAAACAGGGAGAAAATGTTTGAATATCATATGAAGGACTTGTATCCAGAATGCATAAAGAATTCAACATAAAAAAGTAAGAAAAATACTCCTTTTTTAATAACTGGCAAAAGATTTGAACAGACACTTCATCAAAAATATATGGAGAGCATGCACCTCAACAAACAGAAAGCAAATAACCCAATTAAAAAATGGGCAGAGGAGCTGAACAGACACTTCTCCAAATAAGAAATTCAGATGGCCAGCAGGCACATGAAAAGATGCTTCACATCACTAATCATCAGAGAAATGCAAATAAAAACCACAATGAGGTATCACCTCACACCAGTTAGGATGGCTGCCATCTGAAAGACAAACAACAACAAATGTTGGCGAGGATGCGGAGAAAGGGGAACCCTCCTACACTGCTGGTGGGAGTGTAAACTAGTTCAATCATTGTGGAAAGCAGTATGGAGGTTCCTCAAAAAACTCAAAATAGAAATACCATTTAACCCAGGAATTCCACTCCTAGGAATTTACCCTAAGAATGCAGCAGCCCAGTTTGAAAAAGACATATGCACCCCGATGTTTATCACAGCACCATTTATAACAGCCAAGAAATGGCAGCAACCTAAGTGTCCATTAGCAGATGAATGGATAAAGAAGTGGTACATATACACAAGGGAATACTATTCAGCCATAAGAAGAAAACAAATCCTACCATTTGCAAAAACATGGATGGAGCTAGAGGGTATTATGCTCAGTGAAATAAGCCAGGCAGAGAAAGACAAGTATCAAATGATTTCATCTACCTGTGGAGTATAAGAACAAAGCAAAAACTGAAGGAACAAAGCAGCAGCAGACTCACAGAACCCAAGAATGGACTAACAGTTATCAAGGGGAAAGGGACTGGGGAGGATGGGTGGGAAGGGAGGGATAAGGGGGAAAATGGGGCACTATGATTAGTACACATAATGTGGGGGGGGGTG